TTTAATGTGTTAAGACAATACAAAAAAAATCACACCTTTTCTGAGCCAATGACCAGTAAACATCGCAAAAGTATTGTTAAATCATTGGATGAAGCTGATAAGCATGCGATTAGGAGGAAAGTGCATGAATTCTTCTTTAGGAATGAAATACCTACTATATAGTCAACGCCAAACAAAGTGGCGTGCACGTCATCACGATAAAAATTCCCCGACCTAATGCCTAGGTTTCTATCACAAACAATTGCTCTATTGCAGTTTCATATTAATGTGATATATAAATTGTAAAATGGTCATTACTCTCTTATTATGGTTAATAGTCATATAAACATTGTTATTAAAATATCACATAAGTTGCTTTCTGATAAATTTAGACGCATTATGCGAAATAAAATATTTTGCAAACGCTCCAATCACTTATCGACATGTAAACGCACTAAACCGATTTCGCAGCGTTGACACATTGTCACCTTGAAACTTATTTAAACTGGGAACTGACATTTGTATTAATTTTGACACTGAATCAATTTGTGGCATTTCAAATCTTTATAAATCCTTTGGCCCCGCATACTGTAAATCAACAACTGTTTGTTTCAAAACAAAATTATTCATTTTACGAGTAGATAAAGGCAATTTTGGTATATAAAGATGCCCAAATAGTTAAATAGTCGGTGTAAGGAACTCGTGGCCTCGTTAATGCACTACTTTGAGCAAGAAAGGGACAACAACGGGCCTTTGTTGCCTTTAAATGCTGTTCAAGAGGTAGGTTACTAATAATTATATGTAATGTATATTAATAATAGTGAAATTTTATTTCATTTTTTGTAGCGTGTTGCTGCTGCTTTAAAAATTAGTTTAAGGACAGTTAGTCATATTTCCGAGGGTGTGAAAAGTGATGCAAATTTAGAATCGCCCAAGAAAAAGCGGAGTTATATTAAACGTGTAACCAACACAGCGACATTGGATACAAGTGCCATTCGAGAAGTGATCTATAATATGTATCACAAAAGTAAGATCTTATTATAATAACTTATCAGAAATTTGCATTAATTTGTTAACTAAATTATAATGTCATATTACACATGGTTTCAGAAGAACAAGTTACGATGCAAACTTTATGGTCTCGATTAAGAGATAGGGCATTATTTGATGGTAGTGCCACGTCTTTAAGGCGGTTGCTTAGAGATCTTGGATTTAAGTGGCTTAAGGATAATCCGCGACGAGGGCTCATGGAACTACCAAGTATAGCTTTGAAAAGGGTGGAATTTCTAAGGCAATACAATCAAGCCAAGGTTGAGGCCTTATACCAGTTTGTCTTCCTCGATGAAACTTGGATATTTCAAAATGGGACCATAGGTCGCTCTTGGCAAAATGGAAACCAAAAAAGCGTGAAAGCTATTAAAACAGATGGTAAAAGGTATGTACTTTTACACAATTTGCACTATAAAATTTAAAACTAATATATTTTAGATACATTATATTACATGCTGGAAATGAAAATGGGTTTATTGAGGGTAGTGAAGCGATATTTTCTTCGAAAACAAAATTGAGCGATTACCATGGAGAGATGAACCAGGACAATTTTTTGAAATGGTTTCAACATCAGTTATTAGAAAAATTGGAGAGTCCATCTATGATTATACTGGATAACGCCCCTTATCACAGCATGATATTGAACAAAGTGCCCAACAATGCATGGACAAAAAAAATATCCAAGTCTGGTTGACAAATCAAAACATACCATTTTTAAACACAATGTTTAAAACAGAGCTATTGAGTATTGTTGCTCGGTACATAATGCTTCTTAATTATATATATTTTGGTCGACAGTTTATATTTCTTTTGTTTATTCCTATTCTTAAAATAACTGCTTTTTTAGAAACAAACCACCTAAAATATACGTGATTGATGAATTGGCGGAACAACATGGGCACAAAGTTCTTCGTCTGCCTCCTTACCATTGTATATTTAACCCTATTGAGTTAATTTGGGGCATAGCAAAAGGTTACTATAACAGACATATTGGTAGAGATGGTAACAGTGAAAAAGACTGTTTGGATATGTGGAACGAGGCTCTACAAACGGTTACCCCAGACATGTGGAAAAATAGTGTTCGACATACTGAGCAAGAAATTCTTAAATGGTATGAAAGAGAACGAATTTTTGATCGACCAGACATCGAACCTTTAATAATCAACTTTGAGAGTGATGAAGATTCAGATTCAGACAGCGCTGAAGAAAGAAACTCCGACTAACTTTATTGTACAGAAAAAGCTTACACCAGTAGCTTACCTAATTTTAGAATGCATTTTTCTGTATGAATTCTGTAAAATAAATACCATGCATAAAATTTGGAGGACCCCATTTGAATTTTTATTCAGTACCTTTAAGCTATCAATTAAATATGGTAGTTTCATAGTGTCATCTGATCAATAATTGTCATACTTAATGATTATGCAAGTACAGATCTATAATTTTATTATACTATTATTTTTGTTCTCATTTGAGGTTAATATTGCTTATAAACCTAGATATGTAAATAATAAATTTTATTATTTTACAAAAAGTTTGGCAACAATGTAAATTTTTCAACACACCCACCTTGATGACGTGCACGCCACTTTGTTTGGCGTTGACTATAGATAAAGTACTGCAGGAGGTAAATGGAGATACAACGTTGCCAAATTTCAAACGATCAACTTTCCATGCGTTACTGAAGCATTTAAATTTCAAATGGAAAAAACGGGGTCGTAATAGTTTACTACTGGATAGAGAAGAAATTGTGGTATGGAGGAGGGATTATTTAACAAAAATTGGGAAATATAGAAATCAAAACAGGAAGATTTATTACCTTGATGAAACGTGGGTAAACGCAGGACACACTACAAGTAAAGTATGGGTTGATGATTCTGTAACTTCATCCAGGAGGGCCTTTCTAGATGGACTGTCCACCGGATTAAAAAATCCAGCAGGTAAATACGAGTAATAGACAACAATCGGATGTTTTTCAAACCTTGGGAACAAGGTTCTAAACATTAATTCCAGGGGGCAGATAAAACATATTACAAGTAACAAAACTTTTATAACTTTCGATAAAATGCGTGGATGTTTTATTGTCATTTTCATTTGTTAGAACTTTTTTAAGCAAGTGTTTTTATGTGTTTTCGATATTTCAATAATTTTTTAATATAATACTAAAATATGTCGAATATTAGCTACTGTATTTTTTAATTAATTATTGACATTTTTGAACCCATTTTGGCAAAACCTATTCAAGAATCTACTCGTACTTTCTGACAATGTTCAACCATGCACATTTTTTTACGTTTTGAACGTTTTAATTTGGTTACATATTTACCTAGAAATCAAAAAATATACTAATCAATATTCTAAAAGCAATTTTAAGAGATATACGATTATTTTTAATTTAGGCTAATTTAAACGCCATTTTGAGATTATATTCGACTGTATTTCACCAAACATCAGGCGGCATCCGAAGCTGGAAATCGAAGCGAAAATTTTGAAATCCTTATGTATATTTACATCATTATATATTTCTTACCCCACCCCCACATGATCCTATATCCATCACCAATCGTATACACATCGAATTGTGCTAATTTACTACAAAGCTACGCAAAGCAGCATCTACTATCTAAAATATGTACTGCGTGACTCTTAATACGTCCCTGCCGAATGTTACAGCGTTCGATGATCACGTGGTCTTGTTTATGTCCGGTCTATCTCTTATCTGAATATACTGTAGCTATCTCTGATCACCATGGGTTGGCAGTATAATGAAGAGCCTCCAACTCTGCTTTTTGAATGTTTGATAGTGCCCCACATATGTGATTGCTGAATCAAATAGAAATCCACAATAGTCGTAATGTTCTAACTGATGCATCCTTCCAATATAGAATCTCTATATCACTAAGCCTTTATTTCAAGAAACCAGGATGCTCCGTTTGTTGATTACAATCACCTAGAAGAAAATGAGTTGCTCTCTTATTCAATTTCACCAATATGTTAGGTGTTATACTCCAGATTCCAAGGTTACGAAAAACCGTTCTTCAAAACATCCAGCCATCCAGACACAAATAGGGATGACACAAATAAAAGAGAGGTTAACTAAACATGACAGCAATAAATCGTCATACTTGTCAAAGTCGCACATTTTTCTGAATGCCATCAGTGTTGTCATGTTGTGTCCGGCAACACCGCACTGTTTCCCATTCTCCCATATGAGTCAACTCCCTATGCATCATACACTAATAACATAGTCTCCGCATCGTTACGGTTTGCGAGAAGCACGGCGACAGTCTGTTGCCTGTTGTGGATTTCGATGACCTACCTCAACATGACGTTAGTTGTGGTCCGAGAGTGACGTCAGCGCACGAGCAAATGCTTGTAGTATAGATCCGTCGAGTTTTCTCTCTGTTACTGCCGAAAACTTAATTTTTATTATTTCATAAGAGTTGAATTTATATGGAAAAATGTCTTATGGTACGCTTCCTTAAGGTATAGGGCTTTATTCTTCGTCAGTTGTAGGCCTGCTAGTTCAAGGAGGAGTGAGATCAGAATACTACAAATCACAATATTAAAACACGTTGACTGCCAAGCAAAAAAACTTGTTTACCTCTGTGGGGCCAAGAGAAGAAATACATTTATTGGACTTAGATTTAACTTCCCATGCAATCAAAATTAAAATATCATTCATTTTTATATTTTTTTTTGTGGTTTTTTCATGCTGGTCCCATGGGACCAGCGTGGCGCCTGTTGACAAAAATCTAGTAATATTCTTTCGTAGCGCCGCTGGTCCCTTGACGTTAGTTTGAGCGGCAATATCGTTCGGCAAATTTATAGGTTATACTTGCTTCTTGTACCACGTGTTGCTTGCTGACATCTTTTTTAGTGGTTTTAGTAGTTTAGAGTATTTCTGCGATAAGATAAGAGGTAGTATACTACAGTTTTTTGTATACTGTGAATTTGTGATATTATTTCAGATGTCTAATAGACCCCTGACGCAAAAAGAGTTAGAAGAGCTTGTGAACACGATTTGGGATTCTGATTCAGACGAGTCATTCATAGAACCTTGTCCAGGCTCTGACAGTGATTCATATCAACCATCGGATTCTTCAGAAACCGACTCGGACGATGATATTGGTGACTTATCGAGAGCAAGTAAAAGGAAACAAAGGTTACGGATTCCATCATGTAATGGAGCCAGCACGAGTCGTGCACCTGAATCTGTAACCCAAACTAACCAAAACGAACCTGAAGCTGAAAGTTTGGGGAAGTCTGCTTCATCGGAAATGCCGGCGCCGGTGCCTACTGTTTCAACATATGGTGAGGGATGGGGGCCAATCGCAAGAATTTACAAAGCCATTCTAACCTATACCCAGTCATCTGGAATAAAACCAGAAGTTGCCGCTTTACTAGCAAATGCAAGTCCAGGACAATTCTATGAAGCTGTTGTAGACGATTCGATTTTCTCATATATTGCGGTTGGAACAAATCATTAGTCTAGTTGTCTTCTACTTGAAACGGATGCAAGTGACAATTCCCGCTACAATAATTGGGTACCAACAAATAAAACAGAAATCAAACATTTCTTAGGGCTAGTGGCCTGGATGGGAATGGTCAAAGCACCTACACTGGCTGATTACTGGTCAACGGATCCATTATTCAACTTTAGTTTTCCTCGTTCTGTATTCAGCCGTAATCGATTTGAAATTTTACTTCGAACAATTCATTTTGCAGACAACAATCGAGCTATCGCTGGTGATAAGTTTGCTAAAATAAAACCTTTGCTAGACAAACTCCTGAAGAATTATAAAGATCTTTATACTCCTGAAGAATATGTATGTGTTGATGAGACTATGTTGCCTTATAGAGGAAGATTGTCTATAAAACAATACATAAAATCGAAAAGACACAAGTATGGTATCAAATTATTTAAGTTGTGCTCAGGAACAGGATACACATATAATATCAAAATTTACGCAGGCAAAGAAAGTGGCGAACGAATAACTCCAGAAGGTATTGTAACATTTCTTACCCAAGATATTATAGGTCTCGGCAGAACCTTAGTAACAGACAATTGGTATACGAGTTTACCTTTAGCTAAAAGGATGCTCGATTCTAATACACACCTCATTGACACGATACGCAAAAACCGCAAGGGGCTACCAAAGGAAGTTGTAGACAAAAAACTTAAAAAAGGAGAAGTTGCGGCCATGGAGAACAAAGATGGGATAACATTACTGAAGTGGAAAGACCAAAGGGATGTGCTTGTACTGTCTACAAAGCATGATGCTGAAATGGTAGAGAGAAGTAACAACAGAATACCTAAAGTCGTCTTCGATTACAATAGCGGAAAAAGTTCTGTGGATCTCTCTGATCAAATGGGATCGTATTCTAATCCTCTTCGAAGATCTGTCAAATGGTATCGCAAAATCGCATTTGAGCTTTTGCTTACAACTTCCATGGTCAACGCTTTTATATTATATAAGAATGTTACCGGATGTAATATCAAGATTACGCACTTTAAAAAGGAAGTCATAAGATATCTTATAAATACTGCTAACAACGAGAACATTGACCATGAACTACCGACAAAAAGACGACGACACCATTCTCTAAAACGAAAAGATGGCGAAAATAAGCATAAAACAAGAAGATGTTGTAAGCATTGTTATAAAAAAAATAACGAGCTTCATGGTGGGAAATATGCTACCAATCGTACACTCAAAGTAGACACCTACTGCGAGGATTGCGAGGGAAAACCATTTTTATGTTTGAATTGTTTCAATGAAATACATCAAGGGTAGTCAGACTTAGTTAAATATTTGTCCAGTTTTTATATTTCACTTATTGTATACAATGCTTTGTAAGTTACTTTAGTTTAAAATACATACTTTGCTAAAAATTAAAATTAAAAAACCATGCTTATAGATATCTTCTATGAGGCCGTGCTGGTCCCCTAAACAACATTATTACATTATAAAACTGGCCAGCGGCTCCATACCCAAGTGAAAGTCTGCTGGTCTCATAGGACCAGCGCGGCTCGAGGCAAGTCATTAACGCTGGTCCCATGGGACCAGCGTGGCAGTCATTTTCATAAGAGTTGAATTTATATGGAAAAATGTCTTATGGTACGCTTCCTTAAAGTATAGGGCTTTATTCTTCGTCAGTTGTAGGCCTGCTAGTTCAAGGAGGAGTGAGATCAGAATACTACAAACCACAAAATTAAACGTTGCGGTTTTATTCTATTTCATCTATTGTTATCGATTCCTTCCAGAACAACAATGTATTATGTATGGTTTTATTGCTTTGACGTTGTTTATATTTGGTATGCGTTGCGTTTATCAAATGAGAAGCAGGTAACCAACTCCTAGTTAATGGAATTCCTGATAATTCTATTAATTCACCCATTTTAACGGTTTACAGCATCAGAAGTGGGATCGAACTCACCCGACCTGCCAGCCGTGCGATTCCGAAGTTGTGTGTTTTGTACCGAAAGGTACCATGAAGAAATTAAACTGACATTTTCGGAGTGCCCTAGTGGACTCAATCGTCTAGAAAGTACCGTGAACCGGCGCGACGTGAAAACGGTGTAGTGAAGCGTTTGGTCGAAACAATGTCGGTCAAAACAAAAATGATTTTTGAGACGTGCGGTAGCCATCTCCGGATAGATGCCTTGCAAACCCATGTATTTAGCGTGAAATCGAAATGAACAGTGAGATATTAGAATCTAGCTTGATGTTTGACATTTGATAGTTGAGAGCGCTGGTTGCAATTTGATGAGTAGATAATACCACAGTTTGCGATGGGATGTTGTATTAGTGAGTTTCTAAAATGATAAGTGTAGCTAGATAAAGATAAAGAGAAGGGACAGATTAGGATACTGTTAGGGTTGATCTATAGAGATGCGGCAAAGGACTATATGATCATAAAGTGGGGCTTATGAGAAAGGACACTGGTGAGACTGTTGTGCAGTCAGGTAGAACTGAATATCGAGGTGCTGCTAAATAGTTGATAAATCGGTGAAAAGTGTATGCGAATTACAAGTATAAAAAAAGAAGAGGGTGCCAAGATCGTGTGTCGGAGATTACCAGGCATGAGGTTTGCAGATAGCGGGATTAAGAGTCAGAGGTATGTAAGGGGATTAAAATCGTGCTTTTGAGGTTATCTGTCATGACATTTATAGGTAACGGAATTTCGAGTCAGAGGTAAAGGGACTAACATTGTGTTTTGGAGGCTATCTGGCATGAGATTTGCAGCTAACGGGACTTCAGGTCATGAGATAAGGGTGAAGTGACGTGTCAGGAATGCAGACCAAAGTCTGTACTGGCTTGTATGGGGTAGTTGGTTCCTGGAAGATCAGTATATGACTGAGATGTGCACTTGTGCACTGCTGTGGAGCTAGGAGGGCAATATAATTATTGCAAATAGCAAGCTGGCTCTCATGTGGCATGAGGCTGGCGTAGACCTATATTACGTATTAGTTAGATAGGGGTGTTTTGACAGTGAACTCAAATTGAATACTTGGATATTAACTCGAATAACTAAATTCAACAGTCGCAGACCGTTTCTACATTATCGCCAGGACATGCCTGTTTTCACGGGGCAGTAGTGCAGGCAGTATCAGGTACTTGTTGGAGTGATGCTGCGGGAGGTCCTTGGATAACAGTGTGATTCTGAGGCGTGCATTCTGCGCACGAATGCTAGGAGGGCAATCTAATTATTGCAACTAGCAGGCTGGTCGGTATATGGCATACGGCTAGTAGGTCCATAAGTAAGCGGCTAATGGCATGCGATTTACAGGTAATACCTACCCATATATTTATATGCGTAAACTGCAGTTGCGTTTAAGTATTATATTTTAACTGGTATTCGATGTTCATTGAAGCTATGCATTTTAATTTTTTTATTTCGTAGTATTAGTGATCTTATATCCATCTATATTATTTTTTACAAATTGTATTCGTGGGAATTCTATAGAAGTAAAAAAGCAGAATAGGTCCCATTAACATGATGCGGATTTTTTTGCGGAAATAGCGGAGCGGGATGGAACGCTCCACATAATCGGATGGCTGAGTGTTATCGATCCCTCCAAGAGCGACAATCTTTTTATGGTTTTATTGCTTTGAAGTTGTTCACATCTGGTATGCGTTTCTTTCGTCAAAAAGGAAGAGCAGGTAAAGAGGGAGTCCCTTTCGGTGTATCGACGGGGGCGGACAGCTTGGTAGGGACTCTACAACCAGCATCCAGGCGGTTCACATGACCCGGATCTGTCAGGTCTTCCTCATTAATGTATATCTTATTAATTCACGTATTTTAACGGTTATTACCTTTAGTCCACAAACTAAAATCGACATTTTCTTGCTCATCCGAAGTTAATATACAATACAGAGGTTTTGTTTTATGTGAATGGCCTAATGCATTCTGAACTTGGAGTTTCCTTAATTGGGTTTTTCTAGTCTTTGCATTACCTTATCTGTTTCACTCTTCGATAATTCTTCCTAAAAAGGTACTACCTCTTTTTGCTGTTTCTGCTTGTGTATAATAATGAAAATGAGATATACAAGTAAATGGTAGTAGAACTGATACTTTGAATATTGATATTATAGATATACCGTGCATAGTTTATATAATCCGAGTTGTTATTATCCGTACTCAGTCCACCACAGACTTGTCCGAAAATTCGAAAGGATACTTTTAGGCAAGAAGTTACCTTCTCGTCCTTAACTCTGGAATACTATCTATCGTAAACTTTACGAAGCTACTGCTTTTTTGCTTGCGATTTTATAGTCTCAGTACTATTTACGCTGGGCTCTCGCCTAGTCCTCTGTTAACCCAGTGTGATCAAAGTACTGTGGTAGTAAGGTGTAAGAAAGAGTTCGATATCCATTGGATGTGTGTTAATTCAAGAGCGCCCTCGTAATTCTTACGAAGGTTAGTATTAACGGATTGAAAACTGAGGTTAGTATTCCAGGTTTAAAACGGTGTGCTTTCGTGGTATGTTCGCGATATACATTAGTTTTTTTTTTCGAGTGACGTGTGTACTACCATATAGTTCTCTATATCCCTCCGCAAAAATTCTGTCAATATAATTACCTGATCATTACCTGATTATGTGGAGTCCTCGTCGAAGTAAATATTTAGAATACATATCGTAGTACCCTCGCAGTAGTACCCAACCACCACGATTTCAAAGCGCACACGCAGAGAAGGAAAGCGGCACCGCGCCCCTTCTTCCTACCTTTCTCCCCTCTGGCCGCTTATAAACCTTCATTTACTTCTAAGCCTACTTGTTGCAACAATTGGGTGATATATAGGCAGGTAGGGAGCTATTTACTTCGACGAGGATTTCACATAAATAAGATCGAACACCACTTACAAGCAAGCCCGTTTGATCATGTAATTATGTTTCGTCCTCGTCGAAGTAAATATTTCGAACACATATCGTAGTACCCTCGTTGTAGTATCTGACCGCCACAACTTCAAAGCGCGCACGCAGAGAAAGCAAGCGGCACCGCGCCCCTTCCTCCTATCTTTCTCCCCTCTGGCCGCCTATAAACCTTCATTCCTTGTTCTCGTGCCCGACCGTCAAGACGTTAATCGGCGCGCCTCGTTTACGTGCTACGACAGTGCAGTGTCGAGGATTCGCCAAACATTTAGAATTAGAAAGCAGGACAGAAGGAGGATGAGCTTTCCGAACGAGATACCGACCGACGGTCGCCTGAAGGTTGCTTGCGTCGCCGACCAAAATTAGAAAGTGGCATGCAGGCCTCTTTTCCTGAAGGGGCATCACCATCAGGTAACTGTCATCTAACCGATCTGTATTAGGTGCAAGTTAAATGAATATTAGTATGGATGCCTCATCGGCACTGTAAATTGTGCCTAGCATGACGTTTGGGATAACGTTCTGACACTGTTGGTTGGGATAGCAACCTGGACCTAACTTGGGATAGTCAGCTCCACACCAAGGATAAACGAAGACATTTGGGATAACGTTGGACTCGGGCTTGGGATAGCAGCATAGACCTAGCTTGTGATAGTCCACACCATGAAAAAATGACTCAATACTGAACTTCGTTGCACAAATAACAACACTGAAGGCATTTGGGACAACGTAGCAACAAGGTATGGTCAACAATCTTTTCTCATTTGCTTGTGATAGCATATCTCATCTGGTTTGTGATAACCACGGAACAGGGCCGTAAGTTTGAACATGGCAGGCTAGGAAGTTGTTAAGATATATTTTTTCCTTATTACCAGATAGAGAATAGCTATGCTATGCGAGGTTAGCATTACATTTTGCTCGTGATGGCAAATTCCATCTGGTTTGTGATAACCCTAGAACAGTGTAATAAGAATGCACAAGACAGTTTAGGAAACTGCCGATGTACCATTTTTCATTAATAACAAATAGAGATTAGGTTCATATATGAGTGACTAGCGTTGAATTTTGTTTGAGATAGCATATCCCATCTAGTTTGTTATAGCAATATAGCATTTTTCATTTATAACAGATAAAAATTGGGTACATCTATGTGAGACTAGAGCGGTACATTTTGCCTGGGATAGCAAATTCTATCTGGTTTGTGATAGCAATGTAGCAATATAACATTTTTCATTTATAACAGATAAAAATTGGGTACATCTATGTGCGACTAGCGGTATATTTTGCTTGGGATAGCAAATTCCATTTGTTTTGTGATACCTATCATAACAATACTGTAAGGAGGCACATGAGAAGTTAGGAAGAAGCCGAAGTACCTTTTTTCATTAAAGAACGGCATACATTAGCTACGTCTATACGAGA